AGGAAGAGTTACGAGTTGGGAAGGACTCCCAGCTCCTACAAACCCCAAGAACCGAGCTACAGTGATGGGGAACAGTGCCACACTGTCCCCAACCAAGAAGGGTCTCGAAACTACCCTCCACAAGGGCCTACACCAACTGAAATGTTACACTACACTTTGTAATGTAACTATCTTCAATATCTTGAGGTGTAGCCTTTTGGCGAGCTTCGAAATCACTTGAAGCTTGCAACCAAGGCTCGGGTTCTTCATCACAAAACTCATCCTTGAGTTCTTGATGAGTCTGCTGCACACACCTGCGACACGCCGAACGTTCGGCAAGCAACAAAATAGAAACCGCGCACGGGACACACGACAAAATAGAAACCGCGCGCGAGACACAAATGACCGCATTAACATGCGGCTAGCGATAACTCGCTATTGACTCGACACACACACTCGACATCATGACCCATCATTCACACACCATTATAAGCATGAAATATATATATTTATTTCATGCACTCATACCACTCCATGCACACATGCATGCACGCACACGGACAACAAACCGAGTGCAAACCGTAGGTTGCACCAACAAACTCCCCCTCGGGTTGTTGGCCTTAGGATCTTGCTCTCTCAGTTCAGAGCCATCCCAGCCAGCTTGCAACACTTCCAATGCTGCTGCTCCACCAGCCTCTTGGTCATCATGTCCGCTGGCTGCCCCGTCGTCTTCACGTAGCGCAGTTCAACTTCACCCGCGGCCACCATGCTCCTTGTCCAGTGCCACTTCACCCTCATGTGCTTCGTCAGCCCATGCAACACGGGGTTCTTGGCTAGAGCAATGGCTCCCTGGCTGTCACAGTAGAGAGGGGTAGGTCCTTGCTGCTCCTCCCCTAATTCAGCCAACAAACGCCGCTGCCACACAATCTCCCGTACCGCACGGAAGAGTGCCATGTACTCGGGTGGATTCTACCGAGCTCAATGCTTGGTCAACCTGCTTCTTGCTCTCCCAAGCAGTTGGGCCTCCACCAACACAGCATATGAACCCTCCAACACTTGTCATGTCCTCTGGTTCTGATGCATAGGAGGCATCCGAGAATGCGGTGAGGAACAAACGCCCGGGTTCCACACCATCCGCGCCCTTTTGGCGCCTTTGTGCCGCCGCCGAGTATTGCAGCCCAACGGTCGGTGTTTGGCCAAGGTACTTGGCCACCCTCATTCCAGCTGCTACCTGCTCCTCATTAGGGCATTGCACAACCCTTGCCAGCTGCCCGGTAGCAAACGCGACATCCGGTCGAGTGTTGACTGCCGCATACATGAGGCTGCCCACCAACGAGTGAAAACGGCGCCTCTCCTCTTCACCCACGCTCTCCTCCTCTGGTCCCTTCACACACTTGAACCCAGAAGGAAAGGGTGTAGCCACATGGCCTTCATTCTGCCCAAAGTTGGCAGCCAATGCCTCCAGGTACTTGCGTTGGTGCACCCGCATGCACCGCTTCTCCACGTCTCGTTCGATGTGGAGCCCGAGGTAGAAGTTCACGTCCCCAAGGGACTTGCACTTGAATTTGTCTTGCAGCTTCAGCATCACCTCCTTCACAAGATCAGAGGAGGGTGAGAAGATTAGGATGTCGTCCACGTACACCACCATGAAGCTCCTCTGCTCCCCCTCGCCAAGCATGAACAAGGAATGATCGGCCGTTGAGGGAGTGAAGCCGATCTCCTCCAACACTTCGCGCAGCTTCAGGTACCACTGCCTAGGGGCCTGCTTCAGCCCATAGAGGGCCTTCTTCAGCTTCCACACTCTGCCGCTGCCATCGTCAAACCCCTCATGCTGCGCCATGAAAAACTCCTCCTCGAGGATTCCGTTGAGGAACGCCGTGACGATGTCTAGCTGCTTCACCACCCATCCTTTGATCGCGGCTCCCGCGAGTAGGGTTCGCAGCGTCGTCGGCTTCACCATAGGAGCAAACAGCTCCTTGTAGTCCACATTCTCCTTCTGCTGGTACCCCTTGGCCACCAGCCGAGACTTGTAACGCTCGATCTTGCCGTCGGCGTCGGACTTGATCTTGAAGAGCCACTTGGACGTTATCGCCGTACGTCCCTCCGGTAGCTCCACCAATTCGAACGTGTCGTTCTCCTCAATGCTCTTCAGCTCACTCTCCATGGCCTTCTTCCACTCCTCAGCATCACTACTCTCCAAGGCTTCCTTGAGAGTTGCTGGTTCTCCCGGCATCTCCACCGGAGAGAAGAACGCGAAGGCACACTCCTCGTACTCGCTCTCCTCGTCGTCTCCGACCATCATTGCCGCTCCAGCTAGGGCCGTCTTGCCCTGCTTCCCCGGCGCATCATAGGTCAGCCTATTAGGGGCTTGGACTCTCCTCTTGCCCCTTCCTTCCTCCTCAGCTGCAGGGACTTGAAGGCCTTGGCGTTGCTGCGGTGTAGCTCGGTTCCGTGGAGCACTCGTAGTGCGGGAAGGGAGTGTCGGTGCACGCTCGCTCACTTGCTGCACCTCCTCCTCCTCCTCTTCCTCTGCATCCTTGGCCTCCTCTCCCCCATTCACAAGGGAAGATTGCCTTGTGGTGGTGCTGCCGCTGCTCAGCTCCAAAGGCAGCTCCACGTGCTCCAAGCCGGAACTCTTCACCTCCCCAAACCGCACGCCTATCTTCGCCTCATTCTCCGCCTTCCAATCCTTGTACATGAAGTTCTCCATGAACTTGCAGTCCCTGATCACCATGAACTTCTTGGTGAAGGGGTCCCAAAGAAGCCACCCCTTGCTGTTTTGAGCCATGCCCAAGTGCACGGCCCACACCGCCTTGGCACCAAGCTTGTTGTGCCGAAGATGCTTAGGTACGAGCGCCATGCACATGCACCCAAACACCCGAAACATATCCACCTTTGGCTTCCTGCCAAGCCACTCCACATAGGGCACCCATTTGTCTGCTCCCACATGAGTCAAGACTCTGTTCTTGGCCACACACGCGCTCCGCACCGCATCAGGCCAGAAATAGTCGGGTAGCCCGGCTTCAATGAGCAACCCGCGTGCCGCCTCCGTGATTGTGCGGTTCGCTCGCTCGGCGATGCCGTTCATTGCAGGAGAGTATGGCATGGTGAGGGAGTGCCGAATACCATTCTTCTTCAGCCACAACCCAAACTCCTTGCTCAGGAACTCTCCCCCCCCCGATCGGTGCGGATCGACTTCACTAGTCGGTCTTGTTGCCGCTCCACCATCGGCAGAAAATCCGTCTTCAACGTTTCAGCCACGTCGCTCTTCTTGGCCAGCACGTACACCCACGTCATGCGAGTGTAGACATCCACAACAGTGAGAAAATACTCTGCTCCAGCAGCTCCAAGCTTCAGGGGGCCCACCACGTCCATCACCACCTCATCAAGCGGTGCCTTAGCCGTTGCCTCCGAACTAGGGAACGGAAAACGGGTGAACTTGGCTTGCAAGCACGTTGGGCAGCCAAGCACCTCATCGGGCTCCCCCTTCACACGTATGCCAGCAACCATCTCATTCTTCACTAGCTGCTGCAAGATGGGTAGGGCCACATGCCCCATTCGCCGATGCAAGGTGAGCCAATCACACTCCCCCGTAGCCGAAGTTGGATTGGAGAATGCCGCGCTCGCAATAGCGCCCCACATACTCTCTCCGTAGTCCTCCTTCGCTGCTGCCTCGGGGTTCTCCTCACCCTTGTGCTGCTCCTTGGCTGCTGCACCACTCTCCTTGTGGTCACCGAGCTTGCTGGTCACTCCAGGTTTGCTCTTCTTGGACTCCTTCTCCTTAGTGCGACTGTCCGCTTTATCGCCGCTACCAGTTGCGTCAACATTGGTGCTGACGCTTGCTGCCACTTGCCTCTCCTTAGGCATGGGGACCACAGGGATCTGCCACATCTCGTTGTAGACGTCCCTATCTTCATGAAGGTCCCAAAGAATCCGGTCACCAATCCTCGCGGTGTAGGTCTTGGCTCCCTTCGAGTTCGTGTCCATGCCGGCCTTCGCCAACCGCCGCACGGAAATCAGGTTCGCAGCAAGGCTGGGCACCCAAAGCACGTTCTTGAGGCCCACCATCTTCCCATCAGCACCCTTGAACATGGCCTTGCCCATGCCTTTCACCTCTGCTCGCTGCCCCAAAGCCGATGTGACATGCTTCACCGATGACGGCTCGAGTTCGGTGAGCAAGTCGGGGCGAGGTGTCATGCTGTAGGTAGCGCCGCTATCGATCACCCAATAGTCCAGGGGGTGTAGGGTCACCTTCCCCACAGCTGCTGGCTCCTCAAGGTCTTCATCCTTCTCTGGACCAGCCGGTACTTGCGTCGACACGAAGTAGAATAGACCCGGGTACCGATCGTCGCTCGGGTCCTTGTCGTTATCTCCGCTCTTCATGTTCGCCGCTCCACCACCGCGACCGCCACGGCCTCCACGGCCTCTTCCTCTCCCTCCTCCTGCTCCTCTACCCTCTTGGTGCTAGTGAGGCTGCTGCCTTAGGTGCTAGAGAGTCTGCTCTCTCAGGTACTGCGCCTGTTGAGGTTTTGCACACCTTCACGCTTGACTCAGGTGCTTCCCGCTGTTTCTTTCGTGACACTCACACCGCTCCCTGCACCTGTTGCAGTGTCTCTGGCTGACCCCTCAGGGGGCCCAGTCCTTGCACGGTCCACCACTGTGCTTCCGTGTGCCTGGCGGTTCCGTCTGGCTCACTGTCAGGTCTCCACATCCCCTCGTTCTCTACGAACTTGGTGAGCAACGCTGCCCTTCAGGATGTGGGGGTTAATACCTTCACCCCTGCATGGCAGCGTGTGGCGATCTGCACGTGTGCACAGACTGGCCGTCACCTGGCCACGTTCACCCGTCGGCCAGGGTCGAGTCTCTACACACTGACGACTGTGTCTCCTCAGGTCGCTGCTGTCGGTCAGGTGTCTGCGTCAGGTTTGGTAGCCTCCCCTTGTGAGTGTCGCTCCCTGTCGCACCAGACTCTTCTCTGGCACCATCGTCTGGGTCACCCCTCCTTGCCACGTCTACGTGGCATGCACCGTCGCCTCCTTGTGTCTGGTCTTCCCAGGTCTCTCCCTCCCCTCCCTGCCTCGCCTGCGCTGCCTTGCCTTCCTTGCGTCGAGGGGCGGCAGCGCGCCGCTCCTCACTCCTCCTCGTTTCCCCCGACAGAGGCTCCCCTGCAGACCCTCCACCTGGACGTGTGGGGCCCAGCCCACGTTCGTGGACAAGGCGGTGAGCGGTACTTTCTGCTGGTTGTCGACGACTACTCGCGTTACACCACGGTCTTCCCCTTGCGCACCAAGGGTGAGGTCCCTGCTGTCTTGATCCCTTGGATCCGCGTAGTTCGTCTCCAGCTCCGCCGGAGGTTCCGGACTTACCTTCCTGTCCTGCGTCTGCACTCTGACAGAGGTGGTGAGTTCACCTCCGACCTCTTGCGAGCCTTCTGTCAGAGCGAGGGCATCGAGCAGTCGTTCACGCTTCCGGGCTCACCGCAGCAAAATGGGATTGCTGAGCGCCGCATTGGCTTGGTCATGGAGATCGCTCGTACCTCCTTGATCCATGCAGCGGCTCCCCATTTTCTGTGGCCGTTTGCGGTTCGGTACGCCGCACATCAGCTCAACCTCTGGCCCCGTGTCTCCTTGCCAGACACCTCGCCCACACTGCGTTGGACTCGAGAGGTTGGCGATGCGTCGCGTTTCCGAGTCTGGGGTGCTCGTGCCCTTGTCCGTGATACGTCCGCGGACAAGCTCCCTTCCCGCACCATTCCCTGTGTCTTCCTTGGCTTTGTCCCTGACGCGTCTGGCTGGCAGTTTTACCACCCTGCCTCGCGCCGTGTCTTCCCCTCTCAGGACGTCACCTTTGACGAGTCGGTTCCTTTCTACCGTCTCTTCCCCTACCGCACTGCCCCTCTCCCTCCCCCGCCGCTTTTCCTCGCTCCAGGTCCCCTTCCGATAGACCCCCTCCCCCCTCAGGGTCCCGCTCCTTCAGGTGTGTCTCAGGTAGACCCACTCCCCTTGGCTGAGCCTTTGGAGGTCACTTCCGACACCTCTGGCCCAGCTGAGGGGGGTGACGTTGCTGCTGACGCCCCGGCGGCCTACCGCCGCACACCACATTTGGAGACCCCTTCGGGTTTCCCGCCGCGACCTTCTTCGCCGCCTCTGCAGCCGACTACTGTTGACTCTGGTGCTCCTGGGGGTGGTGCTACTTGGGGTGCTGCGTCTGGGGGTGCTGAGCCTGTGCGTGAGGTGCTGGGAGGTGTGGAGCCTGGGGGTGCTGAGCCTACGAGTGCGGAGCCTGAGGGTGCTGAGCTGGAGGGTGCCGGGTCGGGGGGTGCTGAGTCAGTTGGAGTTCCTACGGGTCGTGCTGCTGGGGCTGGAGGTCCTGCTGCTGGGGGTGCTGCTGCTGGAGGTACTGGGGCTGGAGGCCCTGGAGCTAGTGCTGTCGACCCTGGAGTTGGAGGCCCAACGGTGCCCCCCCTGTCAAGATTACGAGACTGGAATGAGTGTGACTAAGAGAAACAGGAGTACAAATGTGAAACCCTAACTAGGTGTACCCCCTAAGGTATCACCCACTACAGGCTAGAACAATACAAACATATAATGTTTGACACACCCCCAATAGGCAAAGTGGGGGAGACCTAGGGGTCACAAGACCAGTCAAGGCAAAGCAAGGCAAACAAGCTCAGGGTGGATCTCGAGGATTCCACACAAATTCCGAGCACAAGCAAGCGGTCACAAGACCAGTTCACATGCAGGTTTATAATAGAGCAAGACGTACAATGATCACAACCTAGCAAGAGTAAACATGCAGGTATATAAATATATAGTGATCACAGTACAGGCAAAGTCAAGAAGTGAGCAAGTGAGGCCCAGTAGGCACAAGGCCTAACAGAGTACAGAAGCGCTGATGGTCACAAGGCTGGAGTGCCTTGGTGAACACATCAGCAGTGTTGGCCTCAGTGGCCACGTAACGCAGACGAAGCTGACCGCGCTGCTGCAGCTCTCGAGCAAGGAAGTACCGCAGGGCAATGTGCTTCGTTCTGTGCTCCAGTCTGTGCTCCTCACACAAGGCAATGGCAGCCTTGTTGTCGACGTACAGTACTGGAGGAGAACGAGGCCGCTCTCCGAGGTCGGTCAGCAGGTAGGTCAGCCAGCGCAGCTCCTGAGCAGCCATGGCTGTGGCGTAGATCTCAGCCTCACAACTGGAGCTGAGAACAGAAGACGAACGAGTAGAACGCCAAGAAACTGAGCCAGAGCCAAGGCTGAAGGTGTAACCCTGAGACGACCGCTGAGTAGCCTGGTCGTCTGCCCAAGAAGCGTCTGAGTGCCCTGTGAGAACAACCCGGTCTCGCCCTCCAAGCACAAGCCCCATGCCCGACGTACTGCACAAGTAGCGCAACACCCTCTTAGCAGCATCCATGTGCTCCTTCCTGTGATGGCCAGGAGCGACATAGCGTGCTAAGATGCTAAGGGGGTATGCAAGGTCAGGTCGAGTGCAGGTCATCAGGTACATGAGGCAGCCCACAAGCTCTGGATACGGGCCACTCGGCTCTACGGACTCATCCGAAGGCAGATCTGAGAGCGAGTGACCGGTAGGCAGAGGAGTGGACTGAGGCGAGGAGTACGTGAAGCGGAAGCGCTGGAGAACCTGCTGCACCATGTGTGACTGAGTCAAGGTGATGGTGCGACGTGCTCTGTCCCGGGTGATCCGCAAGCCAAGATAGCTTGTCAGCTCACCCAGGTCTGTGCACGTGTGTCTCCTCTGCAGCTCCGACTTCACGTGGGCGAGTGCCGCTGTGTCAGCAGTGGCAAAGACCAAGTCGTCAACGTACACGAGGATGTAGAACGGCGGCAGCGAGGTGTCGGTACGTAGAAACAGCGACGGGTCAGCAGTAGAGGGAGCGAACCCAAGAGCCGCAAGCGTCGTCCTCAGTGTGTCGTGCCACTCACGTGGCGCCTGGCGGAGACCGTAGACCGGCCGCTGAAGCCTCCACTGGGTGCCAGGAGGAACCGACCCAGTGAAGCCAGGAGGGCGGCGCAACCAGATCTCCTCGTGCAGGCTGCCCTGCAAGAAAGCAGTGCTGAAGTCAAGTGAGTGAAGCTCGTAGTCGCGGTGAGCGGCTATGTGCAGCAGCACCCGAAGAGTGGTCATCTTCGGGGTGGGGGAGAAGGTCTGGAAGAAGTCGACTCCCTCTCGCTGACTGAAGCCTCGAGCCACGTAGCGTGCCTTGAAGACAGGAGGAGAACCCGGCGGCCGCTTCACCCTAAAAATCCACATGCCACTGACGATGTTCGCCCCAGGAGGGGGAACCTGGTCGACGTAGGTGCCTGTGGACTTCCAGGAAGCCATCTCTGCGTCCATGGCTGTCTGCCACTGAGAGGAGTAGGGACCCGCCATCGCCTCAGCGTAAGAGCGCGGGGTCGGGATGTCTGGTGCATCCGGGTCTCCCTCAGGGGCAACAAGCATGGACACGAGATGGGGCAAAGCAGCAGCAAAACACTGGAACTCCTCCTGTCTGTCCTCAAGGACGTCCGTGCCAAGAGCACACTCACCCCCGACGGACGGAGGACAGGCAGACTCAGACTCAGACTCAGCGACAAGGCTGGCAGCGTAGTCTAAGCGACAGCGAGCAGCAAAGTCAACCAACTCAGCGACCAGAGCAGACGCAGCAGAGGACTCAAAGGTCGGGTCAGTGACAACTGTAGCGAGGAGACGCGTAACAGTGGGACTGGCCGCACGACGGGAGTCAGACTCCGGGTCAGGAAGAGTAGGAAGAGAGGACGCAGGAGGAGACGGCAGCGGGACACGCTGCGGAGCAGTGGAGGGACGCAAAGTCATGTAGTGAGTGCCAGGGACAGGAGGAGGACGCTCACGCGGGACACGACGACCAGTGCGAGTAGTACGAACAGGCGACGCAGGACGAGACTCAGGCTCACGACGCTCTGTAAGACCTCCTGTGGGACCAGCGTAAGGAGAGGGAGCAGGGAGAGGCGAGGCAGGCGGTAACTGTGACTGCGGCTGGACAGGCAGAGGACACTCGACGGAGGGAGGAGGACTAGGAGGAGGAGCCTGACCAAGAACCTGCTGAAGGAGCGGTACGAAGTACGGTCGCGGCCGCGCAGCGTCTCCAGAACCAGCAGGGACACCAGCGGCAGCCCCAACGCCCGAGTCCTCAGCACCAGCAGCAGCTCCAACACCCGGGTCCTCAGCACCAGCAGCAGCGCCACCGGTCGGGTCCTCAGCACCAGCAGTAGCTCCAACGCCCGAGTCCTCAGCACCAGCAGCAGCTCCAACGCCCGGGTCCTCAGCACCAGCAGCAGCTCCAACGCCCGGGTCCTCAGTACCAGCAGCAGAGCCACCGGTCAGGTCCTCAGCACCAGCAGTAGCGCCGCCGGTCGGGTCCTCAGCACCAGCAGCAGCTCCAACGCCCGGGTCCTCAGCACCAGCAACAGCGCCACCGCTCGGGTCCGCAGCACCAGGAGCACCACTCCGAAGACTGCAGCGCCGTGTGTACCACTCTCGGATCACCTGAATGGGGGGGAGCTCCTGGGTAGGAGGGGAAGTACTGGGACGAGCTCCAGAAGCACCTCTCCGGAGGCGGCAGTACTCGAGGTACCTCTCCTGCAGCTGCTGGGAGGAGAGGGCTCCTCCAGGTGTAGTACGCTCAGGCTCAGCACCCGAAGACTCAGCACCCCCAGACTCAGCACCCCCAGACTCAGCACCTCCAGGCTCCGCACCTCCAGGCTCCGCACCTCCAGGCTCAGCACCCCCAGGCTCCGCACCTCCAGGCTCAGCACCCCCAGGCTCCGCACCCCCAGACTCAGCACCCCCAGACTCAGCACCCCCAGGCTCAGCACCCCCAGACGCAGGACGCGAGTCAACAGCTACCTCGACAGGCTCACCCGGGTCTACCTGGGACACACCTGAGGGAGCGGCACCCTGAGGGGGGAGGGGGTCTGGTACCTCAGCACCTGGAGCGAGGAAGAGAGGCGGGGGGGGGAGCGGGGCAGTGCGGTAGGGGAAGAGGCGGTAGAAGGGGACGGACTCGTCAAAAGTGACGTCCTGAGAGGCCAGAACCCGGCGCGAGGTGACGTGGTAAAACTGCCATCCAGGCGCGTCAGGCACAAAGCCAAGAAAGACACAGGGAACGGCGCGACGCGAGAGCTTGTCCGCGGACGTGTCGCGGACAAAAGCTCGAGATCCCCAGACCCGGAAACGCGACGCATCGCCAACCTCTCCCGTCCACCGCAGAGTCGGGGAAGTCTCCGGCAAGGAGACACGGGGCCAGAGGTTGAGCTGATGCGCAGCGTATCGGACCGCAAACGGCCACAGAAAGTGGGGGGCAGCCGCATGGGTCAGGGAGGTACGAGCGACCTCCATGACTAGGCCAATGCGGCGCTCAGCGACCCCATTCTGCTGCGGAGAGGCCGGAAGCGTGAACGACTGCTCAATGCCGTGCTCAGTATAGTAGGCTGCCAAGAGGTCGGAGGCGAACTCACCACCTCTGTCAGAGTGCAAGCGCAGGACAGGAAAGTCCGAGTGAAAGCGCTTGCCTAGCTGGAGACGGGCTCGGCTGATCCAGGGGATCAAAACACCAGGGACGTCACCCTTGGCGCGCAAGGGGAAGACCGTGGTGTAGCGCGAGTAGTCGTCAACAACTATCAGGAAGTACCTCTCCTGACCCTGACCACGGACGCGGGCTGGGCCCCACACGTCCATGTGGAGCGTCTGCAAGGGAGCAGTCGTCGGGGGAAAGGAGGAGGAGTGGGGAGCGGCGCGCTGCCGCCCCTCGACACAGGGAATGCAGTCAGGAGCAGGGGAGTCGGGAAGGGGAGGGAGCACCCTGGGAAGACCAGCAACAAGGTCCTGTTTGTGCATGGCCCGAAGGCGCTGCACAGACGGGTGACCAAGGCGGTGGTGCCAGAGGACAGTCTCATGCGCCAGAGAGCGACACGAGCAGGGGGCGGACAGCTGACCTGACGCAGACGCAGACGCAGCTACCTGAGGGGACTCAGTGGTCAGTGTGTACAGGTCCGACCCCGGCTCTCGAGTGAAAGTAGCCAGGTGGCGGCCCGTCCGAGCACACGTGCAGTGTGTCACACGCTCGTAGGCAAGGGTGAACTGGTGAACACCCCCGTCCTGCAGCGCACAACCTGCCACCAAGTTCGTAGAGAACGAGGGGAGGTAGAGACCTGAGAGCGTGCCGGACGGAACCGCTGGACACGGAAGTGTAGTGGAGGAGGTCGCAATGACCAGACCCCCAGAGGGGTCAGCAAGAGAGACAGCAACCGGCCGAGCTAGTGGCTCAAGGACAGTGCGGTCACGAAAGAAAGAGCGAGAAGCACCTGAGTCCAGTGTGAAGGTGTGCAGTGCTGCAGTCGACTCAGTACCAGGGGGCACAGACGCACTAGCACCTAGGGCAGCTGCTGCAGCAGGACCTGTGGGAGCAGACACACTAGCACCTAGAGCAGCAGCTGGGCTGGCCTGAATGCCCGGGTCGGGCGGAACACGCAAGTACTGGGCACCCTCTCCACTAATAGACATCGCATACATAGCAGTGAGAATAGCATCAAAGTCTAAAGCCCAGATATCAACACCCTTCTTTTCCAGCTCAGGCCAGCGGGGGAGCTCAGTAGACCCAGGAAACTGGATGCGCCACGCGTCAGTCAGGCGCTGGAAGCAGCGCTGCGTGGGGTGCGGCCTCCCACATGGCTGGCCAGTGCGGTCACCAGTGCGGATGACGTACGTGCAAGTGTACCCACGCTGCGCGTACCACTCACGGGCGGCCTGGAGGGTCGGGGCGTGCTGCTGACTCTGGCCACCTCCAGCGTCTCCACGGCCACCACCACCACCGCCACCGCCACCGCCTCGGCCACCTCCACCCCTGCCACGGCCACGACCGCCACCGCCGCCGCTGCCACCTCCGCCTCTGCCACCACCCCCGCCGCCGCTGTCACCACCCCCACTGCCGCCACTAGCCTCTCCAGACCCACCGCCACCTCCACTGTCTCCACCCCCGCCTCCCCCGCCTCCACCCCCACCCTTGCCCCCCCTGCTCTTGCGGCGCCCGCTCGAAGCAGACGCAGCCCCGACCTTCTCAGCACCAAGGAGGTCGACAGCAGCAGCAGTGGCGACAGAGGGGAGAAGGGGGGAAGGGGAACACCCCTCGAAGAAGGGGGTGCGGGGCTCGCCACGAGAGGCACCTACGGCGACGATGCTCGCCTCAGCTGCAAGTAGGTCCTTCTCGAGGAGGGCAATGGTGAGCTCAGTAGGGGAGCGAGCTAGAAAGGAGTCCCTGACTGTGCGCAGAGAGTCAGGGAGGCGGGTGACAATGTGGTAGAGGGTGAGCCAGAGCGGGGGGGGGTTGCTAGCAAGGAACTCGGCAGGCATAGCAGCGCGAAAACGGGCCTCACTAGTCTTGAGGTGGGTGATGAGATCAGCGACAGTGTGAAAGGAGGCCAGGTCGGGGAACAGGTAGGGCAGGGAGAGGCGGCCTAGGGTGGCAGACGCAGGCGAGGAGTAGCGAGCAACTACGGCTGTGTACAGTTCCTTAGCAGTCTTGCACTGGCCGAAGTGCTCGCGCTCATCTAGCGGCAGGGAGTTGCGGATAGCAAAGCGAGCGTGTGCGTCGCGGGTCTGCCACTGGGAGCGCAGTGTGCTAGCAGCAGAGGAGTCAGGGGCAGTAGCATGGCCTAGGGCGTGGTCGTACAGTGAAATGTCTTCCTTGGCAGTGAGCTGTAGGAAAAGGTGCAGATCATCGAGCCAGGTGTCAAATTTCACTGGGCGGCCCTCAGCGTCGAAGGCTAGAACAGGAGCAGTAGCCATGGTAGCAGGAGGAGGAAAAGTAAGTAATAAACGTGGCAGTGACAGTAGCAGGAGGAGGAAAAGTAAGTAATAAACGTGGCAGTGACAGTAGCAGCAGGGCAAGGCAGGGCCGGGGCAGTCGCGACAGCGGCGGCAGTTGCTGCAGGTTCGGCTACAGTAGGGACTGCAGGGCCGGCGGCGGCCGATGGAGTAGACTCGGCGGTTGCGGCTGCTGCAGGATCGGCGGCGGCTGCTGCTGCTGGGTCGGCGGCGGCTGCTGCTGCAGAGGCAGCGGCGGCTGATGCTGCTGTAGCTGCGGCGGCCGCTGCTGTAGATTGCGGCGGCTGCTGCTGCCGTAGATGCGGCGGCGGCCGCTGCTGTAGATGATGCGGCAGCTGCTGCTGCTGTAGATGCAGCGGCGGCTGCTGCAGAAGATGCGGCGGCTGCTGCTGCTGTAGCTGCAGCGGCGGCTGCTGCAGTAGATGCGGCGGCTGCAGCTGCTGTAGATGCAGCGGCGGCCGCGGCAGGAGAGGCGGCGGCGGCTGCTGCAGCAGTTGCGACGGCCGCGACTGCAGTCTCTGCCGCGGCTGTTGCTGCAGGCCCGACCGCGGCGACGAAGGCGCGGGGGGTCGAGCGCAGCACACAAGGCGCGCGGGCAGCGCGACGGGCCGCGCGCGAAGAAAAAGAACCGCGCGCGCTGGCGGCTAGCTAACCGCGCGCGAAAAATGGCCGCGCGCGGGCTGCTGGCTGGTCGCGCGCACGAAATAGGCCGCGCGCGGGCGGCTAGCAGATCGCGCGCGGTAAAAAAAAAAGGAGGCGCACTAGGGGCGCAATAGGAGGCGCACTAGGGGCGCAATAGGAGGCGCACTAGGGGCGCTTGATAGGTATGTAGGTAGGTAGGTAGGTAGGTGGGCCCTTAAGAACGGTCCTAGGGAAGGACCTGCTCTGAAACCATGTCAAGATTACGAGACTGGAATGAGTGTGACTAAGAGAAACAGGAGTACAAATGTGAAACCCTAACTAGGTGTACCCCCTAAGGTATCACCCACTACAGGCTAGAACAATACAAACATATAATGTTTGACACCCCCGCCGCTCACCATGCTTGGCGACCCCTCCGGGTTTTCCACCTCGACCGTCTTCGTCGCCTCTGCGGCCGGTTCCAGCTGCCTCTGGTGCTGCTGGGGGCGGTGTTGCTCGGGGTCCTGCGTCTGGGGGTGCGGAGACTGGGGGTGCTGGGCCAGAGGGTACCGGGTCCGGAGGTGCTGTCTTGGCTGGTGTTCCTCTGGGTCTTCCTCTTTCTGCTGCTCGAGCTGCTGGAGCTAGTGGTCGTGGAGACGCTGGGAGCACTGGTGTTTCTGGTTCTGGACGTGCTCGTACCGGGGGTACTGGAGCTGCCAGGACTGGCGGTACTGCTGGAGCTGGAGGTGCTAGTTCTGGGGGTGCTGAGTCTCCTGGCGGTCCTCCTGGTGCTGCGTTGCAGCGGCCGCCTCTCTCGCAACAGTAGCTACGCAAGTGGTGCGCTCAGCGCTACTGCCGTCGAGGTGTTGCGACTGGGGGTACTAGGGTTGCACGCCCAGCAGCTGGTGCTGTTGCCTTTGGAGTTGGAGACCCTGGAGCTGGAGGTGCCGGTTCTGGAGGTGCTGCTGCTGGAGGTACTGAGGCTGGAGACCCTGGAGCTGGAGGTGCCAGTCCCGGGGGTGCTGCGACTGGAGGTACTGAGGCGGGAGACCTTGGAGATCGAGGTTCTGGCGCAGCTGGTGATGCTGGAGCTGGAGGTTCTGCGGCTGCTGGAGGCGCTGGAGCTGGCGGTTCTGGAGTTGCTCGAGGCACTGGAGCTGGAGGTTCCGGAGCTACTAGAGGCACTGGAGCTGGAGGCTCTAGAGTTGCTGGAGTCACTGGAGCTGGCAGTTCTGGAGCTGCTAGAGGCACTAGAGCTGGCTGTTCTGAAGCTGCTGGAGGCGTTGGAGCTGGAGGTTCTGGAGCTGCTGGAGGTGCTGGAGCTACTGGTGCTGGTGGCACTGCACAGCCGCGACTGTTTTTCGCTCCGCCGTCACCGTCGTCTCTGCCACCACCTGACTCCGTGCTTCGCCAGGTTCTTAGCCTCCCGTCTTCTACTGGTCTTTCGTTACAGCCTGGCTCACCACTGCCTGCTCCTTCTCCTTACACTGTGCAGACAGGAGGTCCTGCTGAGCGTCGTGAGCCTGTGTCGCGTCCTGTCTCGCCTGTTTGCACTAGTCGTACTGGTCGTCGTGTTCCTCGTCCGCGTCCGCCGGCTGTCCCCGGCACGCACCTCATGGCCCTTCGTCCTTCCTCTGCTCCACAGCGTGTTCCCCTGCCGTCCCCTCCTGCGTCTTCTCTGCCTGACGTTCCAGACCCTGAGTCTGACCGCGCTCGTGCTGCTCACCCTACTGTCACGCGTCTGCTTGCCACTGTTGTCAAGGCCCGCAAGAGGTCGGAGGTGAACTCACCACCTCTGTCAGAGTGCAGACGCAGGACAGGAAAGTCCGACTGGAACCGGTCGCGGAGCTGGAGACGAACAGCGCGGATCCAAGGGATCAGAACAGCAGGGACATCCGCCTTGCGCTGCAAGGGGAAGACCGTGGTGTAACGCGTGTAGTCGTCGACAACCAGCAGAAAGTACCGCTCGCGACCCTGTCCCTGGACGCGGGCTGGGCCCCACACGTCCAGGTGGAGCGTCTGCAGGGGAGCCTCTGTGGGAGGAAACGAGGAGGAGTGAGGAGCGGCGCGCTGCCACCCCTCGACGCAAGGAATGCAGGGTGGCGCAGGCGAGGGAGGAAGGGCAGGCAGAGACCTGGGAAGACCAGAGACCAGGAGGCGAGAGTGCACGCGACGCAGACGAGGCAAGGAGGGGTGACCAAGGCGGTGGTGCCAAAGGAGAGTCTGGTGCGACAGGCGGCGACACTCACAGGGGGAGGCTACCAGACTAGATGCAGACACCTGACCAACAGCAGCGACCTGAGGAGACACAGTCGTCAGTGTGTAAAGACTCGACCCTGGCTGACGAGTGAACGTGGCCAGGTGACGGCCAGTCCGTGCACACGTGCAGATCGCCACATGCTGCCAAGCAGGGGTAAAGGTATGAACCCCACCATCCTGAAGGGCGGCGTTGCTCACCAGGTTCGTAGAGAACGAGGGGAGGTGGAGACCAGACAACTCACCAGACGGGACCGCCGGACACGGAAGCACAGTGGTGGACCGTGCAAGCACTGGGCCCCCAGAGGGGTCAGCCAGGTGCAAAGAGGGGAGTGACTGTGGTGCTGTCGCGAAAGAAACAGCGGGAAGCACCAGAGTCAAGTGTGAAGGTGTGCAAGGCCTCAGCAGGCGCAGTACCTGAGAGAGCAGACTCACTAGCACTTGAGAGAGTAGACTCACTGGCACCGAGAGCGGCAGCCTCACTAGTACGGAGAGCAGGAACCGCTATACCTGGGTCTGATAACAGACACTCTGAGCACGACGGTGAGACGCCCAACGCTGAGCAAACCACTCACGAAGCTCCTGGGGTGTAAGGGGCTCACGCGGACGCCGCTGCAGCTGCACTAGGCCACCTCCAGAAACTCCCAACGGAGGAGCTGCACCGCGACTCCCACTACGGCCACTACGCTGAGACGCCCAACGCTGAGCAAACCACTCACGAAGCTCCTGGGGTGTAAGGGGCTCACACGAACGCCGCTGCAGCTGCATTAGGCCACCACCAGAACCTCCCAACGGAGTAGCTGCACCGCGACTGCCACTACGGCCACTACGCTGAGACGCCCAACGCTGAGCAAACCACTCACGAAGCTCCTGGGGTGTAAGGGGCTCACGCGGACGCCGCTGCAGCTGCACTAGGCCACCACCAGAACCTCCCAACGGAGTAGCTGCACCGCGACTGCCACTACGGCCACTACGCTGAGACGCCCAACGCTGAGCAAACCACTCACGAAGCTCCTGAGGTGTACGGGGCTCACACGGACGCCGCTGCAGCTGCACTAGGCCACCTCCAGAACCTCCCGACGGAGTAGCTGCACCGCGATTGCTACGACGGCCGCCACCACTCCCACCGGTGCTTCCACTGCTGCCACTACCCCCACTGCTGCCTCCACCGCCGCCACCACTCCCACTGCCGGTACCGCGAAGAGAGGTCATAGTGGGTACCAAGGTAGGCAGGGGCGGCACACGGGCAGAAAAAGGCGACGGTCCGCCAGAGGAAGGCGGCATGCTACAGGAGGTAGGGCGCAGGCTCAGGGCAAGGCAGCGGAGATGGCACGCGGGACAAGCAAACTCGCGCAGTAGCGAGGCAGGCGCTCAAGGCAGGCAGGCGTCCAAGGCAGACAGGAGCTTAAGGCAGGCACTCAAAGCAGTCAAGCGCTCAATGCAGGCAGGCGCCCAAGGCAGGCAGTGTCGAGAGATTACGGGAATCAGATGGGATTGGGTCAAGGAGGGGTACAAGAAGAATGTCGAGAAAAATACTATGCTCCCTAGTGCTAACCCACTACGGCCTACAAATGTATAACCCCTATATAATTTGACACACCCCTATAGGCAAAGTGGGGGAGAACAAGGGGTCACAAGACCAGTCAAGCAAAGCAAAGCAAAGCAAGCTCAGGGTGGATCACAACGTCACCACACATTCAAGGCCACAAGGCCAGTTCACATGCATGATTATATATAAAGGGAAACAAGCAAGAGCACGTATATAGAACACAGTACAAAGCAAGGTCAAGAAGTGAGCAAGTGCGGCCAAGTAGGCACAAGACCTAGCATCGTACAAAAGCGCTGATGATCACAAGGCTGAAGTGCCTTGGTAAAGATATCAGCAGTGTTGGCCCGAGAGGCCACGTAAGCAAGGCGCAGCTGACCACGCTGCTGCAGCTCACGAGCGAGGAAGTAGCGAAGAGCAATGTGCTTCGTTCTGTGCTCCAGTCTGTGCTCCCGACACAAGGCCAGCATGGCCTTGTTGTCTACGTACAGAACTGGAGGAGAACGAGGCGGCTCTCCCAGATCAGTCAGCAGGTAGGTCAGCCAGCGTAACTCCTGTGCAGCCATGGCCCCTGCGTAGATCTCAGCCTCACAGCTGGAGCTGAGAACAGACGACGAGCGGGTAGACCGCCACGAAACAGAGCCGGAACCAAGGCTGAAAGTGTAACCCTGTGACAACCGCTGCGTAGCCAGGTCGTCGACCCAAGACGCGTCTGCGTGACCAGTGAGGACCACTGGACTCTTCCCTCCAAGCACGAGCCCCATGCCCGATGTACTGCACAAGTAGCGCAACACCCTCTTCGCTGCAGCCATGTGCTCTGGTCGGTGTCTCCCAGGAGCAACATAGCGTGCCAAAATGCTAAGAGGGTAGGCCAGGTCAGGTCGAGTGCAGGTCATCAGGTACATGAGGCAGCCAACAAGCTCTGGGTACGGGCCACTCGGCTCTACGGACTCATCCGAAGGCAGAGCTGAGAGCGAGTGGCGAGTAGACAGAGGAGTGGCCTGAGGCGAGGAGTACGTGAAGTCGAAGCGCTGAAGGACCTGCTGCACCATGTGTGACTGAGTCAGAGTAATGGTGCGCCGTGCTCTGTCCCGAGTGATCTGCAAGCCAAGATAGCTGCGCAGTTCACCCAGGTCTGTGCACGTGTGTCTCTTCTGCAGCTCCGACTTCACGTGGGCGAGTCCAGCAGTGTCAGCTGTAGCGAAGACCAAGTCGTCGACGTACACGAGGATGTAGAAAGGCGGCAAAGTGGTGTCGGTGCGTAGAAACAGCGACGGGTCGGCTGTAGAAGGAGCAAACCCAAGAGCCGCAAGCGTAGTCCTCAGTGTGTCGTGCCACTAACGAGGCGCCTGGCGGAGACCGTAGACTGGCCGCCGAAGGCTCCACTGGGTACCAGGAGGAAACGACCCAGTGAAGCCAGGTGGGCGGCGAAGCCAGATCTCCTCGTGCAGGCTGCCCTGTAGGAAAGCTGTGCTGAAGTCAAGCGAGTGAAGCTCGTAGTCACGGTGAGTGGCAACGTGCAGCGGCACCCGAAGAGTGGTCATCTTCAGGGTGGGAGAGAAGGTCTGAAAGTAGTCAACTCCCTGCCGCTGACTGAAGCCTCGAGCCACGTAACGCGCCTTGAAGACAGGCGGAGAACCCGGCGGCCGCTTCACCCTGAAAATCCACATGCCACTAACGATGTTCGCCCCAGGTGGGGGAACCTCGTCAACGTAGGTGCCTGTGGACTTCCAGGAAGCCATCTCTGCGTCCATGGCTGCCTGCCACTGAGAGGAGTAGGGACCCTCTATCGCCTCCGCATAAAAGCGCGGAGTCGGGATGTCAAGTGCATCCGGGTCTCCCTCAGGGGCAAGCAGCATGACCACGAGATGAGGTAAAGCAGCAGCAAGACACTGGAACTCCTCCTGCCTATCCTCAAGGACGTCCGTGCTAAGAGCACACTCACCCCTGACGGACGGAGGACAGACAGACTCAGACTCAGGAACAAGACTAGCGGCGTAGTCTAGACGACAGGCAGCAGCAAAGTCAACAAGCTCAGTGACCAAGGCAGACGCAGCAGTAGACTCAAACGAAGGGTCAGTGACAACAGTGGCTAACAGACGCGTGACAGTAGGGTGCTCAGCGCGAAACCGGTCAGACTCAGGGTCCGGAACGGCAGGCAGAGAGGACGCAGGGGGAGACGGCAGAGGAACAGGCTGCGGAGTAGAGGAAGGACGACGGACAACAAGGTGTGCGCTGGGGACAGCCGGCTGACGCGAACGAGGAACACGACTACCGGTACGACCAGAACGAACAGGCGAGACAGGACGCGACGCAGACTCACGACGCTCAGCAAGACTGCCTGTCTGCTCAGTGTAAGGAGAGGGAGCAGGTAGCGGTGAGCCAGTCTGTAACGGAAGACCAGTAGACGACGGGAGAGTAACAACCTGACGAAGAGCAGAGTCAGGCGGCGGCAGAGACGACGGAGACGGCGGAGCGAAGAACAGTCGTGTCGGCGCAGCTGCACCAGCACCAGCAGCTCCAGCACCTCCAGCAGCTCCAGCGCCTCCAGCAGCTCCAGCACCTCCAGCAGCTCCAGCACCTCCAGCAGCTCCAGAAGCTCCAGCCGCAGAACCGGTACCTCCAGCGCCAGCACCTCCAGACTCAGCGTCACCAGTAGCAGCACCCCCAGAACCGGCACCTCCAGCCCCAGGGTCTCCAACTCCAGGGTCTCCCGCAGCAGCACCCCCAGAACAACACCTCCAGTCCCAGGATCTCCGGCCTCAGCGTCTCCAGGAGCGGCACCCCCAGACGCAGCACCCCCAGCCCCAGCAGCTCCAGTACCTCCAGTACGAGCACCTCCGGGACCAGCGACTCCAGCACCTCCAGTAGACGAGCCCCGGGC